AAAAAGGCCCTTTGCATAATTTCTAGGATGGCGTTGAAGAGGGTAAATGATTTTTTAAAAATTAAGAAAATTCCCGAAGTGTGTGTTATCAAAGAGAAGTTTCGGAATTAAATTAATTTTTGCGCATTTTTACAAAAGTCTCATTAAAATATTTAAAAAGTAAAGTTTTGTCTCTTGCGAAAGACAAGCGAAGAAAAAATTAAAGAAAATGAGCTTTTTCGTTTGATCAACCGATGAAGGAAGAAAGAAAAAATGGCTGGAGACAACTTCAAATTCGGCGATAAAGTTTTATTTGTAGGAAGGAGGGAGTACTAAATACACTGAATGATGGAATAGTCCTCTCTTAGAAACAGCCAAGATTCAGCTGTTTGCGAAGATCGCATAAGGACCCGAGAAAAAAGCTCTTGTTTGCGAATTTTAAGAAGATCCTCCGATTTTCAAATCTCCACTTCAGAATGGCTATTCGTATGTGTATTTTCCTATCAAAAATCCAAAATAAATAGCACGCATTGCAGCATTTGTATTCGCTACTTAACCTATTTCGTCCTCGGAAATTTTAATCATTTTTCGGATACTTCAGATGAAAATTAAGCCGGTAATCATCATTAAAATTAATCGAGGACTTTATCAAATTATGAATATTAGAAACACCATATTAATATTTCTCAGATAATATCTTTTTATTTTTTTTTATTTTTATTTTTAGAGTCTGTAATGGAAACTAGGCTAGAGAAGCATACACAATAGCACGTAACGGCGCTATCCATAGTCATCTGGCCGTAGTACTATCTGACACAGAATAGGAAAAGAAAAATAAAAAAAAAGCTCGGAAAAAACCAATTACAAACAACAAGGTATGAAAAATGGGAGGTAAAAAATAATACAAACATACGGAATTATATATTAGAACCACTTGTATACAAGCAAAACGCAGTTGCTTTTGTCCACAGTGTTATTATACAAGTCGTCAATAAATCATTGCACCATTAAATAGTGCTTTGCGTGTTCTTCCCCGAGTTGTAACTATATCTCGATAGATCAAACGATGCATAGGTATTCCCAAGTCAACTTTGTCTGCGAGTCTATCAATCTCTTTGCGACTTGTTTATACATCGATGTCACATACTATGACCAATTTGTCTCCATTTCGGCCGTTCTCAACTCTTACCCCTCCGCTACACTCTTTGTCACGTATCGATTGCTCGGTTCGTGACAGAGGTAAACTTTGTCAACTCTGACAAAATGACTATTTACGACGACGCAATGTTATCCACGTCACGCAATCTAATAAATGCACGACTTAGTTTAGCAAACGATAACACTTAACGGTAATCAAGAGAATATAAGTCAATAAGAGCCCAAAGGTGCGTGTAATGTTATCGTTAACGCTTAACACCGCAACAAAAAAAATCGCGGCAGTTAATAAACGATAGTTTATTCTAATTTCTGCTCTCGTAGGAATGCCGCCTTGTAAGGGAGAGAAAGATCGAGAGAGAGCGAGAGAGAGAGAGAGAGAGAGGAGGAGGAGGAGGAGGTTTTTTTAAAAAAATCAGGATTGATTAAACTGTAGTTATTTGATGTTGTTGTATCCACCGATTTTACAATTTACCGTCGAGTCGTTTGCTTGGAAATCGAATTATCGACTGCTATTAGAACGGTACGTCGTCTATAATTAGGCTTAGTATTTAATCCCGATGCACAAGAAGCGAAGATTTTCGTCCAATGTCTCCTTTCAGACGATATTGATCGTAAATACTATTAAAGTTGTGTTGTGTCGGTAATGGCGAATGCAATAGCGACTTAAATACGTCGACGCGCGAATACTGACGATGAAACCATAATGAAAAACAGCTGCAGTTGATAAATGCCAAGAAATGAGTTTTGAATAGGAAATCGACGCTTGCAGCACAATCATAAATAAGCAAGAGGATAATGCGTCGCTTAAGAAACGCTATATTCTCTCCAACGTGTTCTTTTTGAAACTGAGTAATCCCATTGGTTTAAAATTAACCAACCGTTATTCTTTGTGACGTCACGCAGGGGTTAAAATAGACATTTTTATCGGGAGAATCGAACGAGAGAAAAGAAGCGTCCATTTTAAATAAGAAACGTTTAATTGGAAGAAAATAAGACGAGCCGGTTATTAAATCCTTAACGAATTGCGGGATAGATAATAATTTCGATCGGTTGATAAACGGGACGTCCAGGACGACAAGTGAAGAGGCAAAATCGTTTCCGAGTGATCCGAAGACGTCATCTCTAAGAAAAGATCCCATGGCGACTTATTGACGCTTCTCAAAGATCAATTCCTGCGGAAAACTCTTCAGTCTACTAACGTGATCGTGTTTTGATCCGAATGCTATCGATGCTATAAGAGATACGGTAGTGGTTTCGCAGGTAGCGACACAGGTGCAGCACACTGGCTACGAGCGGGAAATATGATTTCCCAACTATAAGACTACAAACTAGCGTAAGAGATTCTACTCACCGACCGGACTGCGTCAGTACGAACGAAAGGACGGGTACAGTTGATTAGTAAAGTTTGTCGGCGACACAACAGCCTAGTGTATAGCGGCCAGGGTGTGGTGGGCAGAAATCAATAAATCCGTGTGACGGCTGCACTATTATGTAGGTATGACATGTAGACTGGGTGGCGTGTTGTTCGACACGGCACTTTTGTTTTCGACGCTCCACTGAAATCATAGTTCCACATAACTCGACGCAAGATGCCAGCTGTTCATACTTTAACTTTTACGAATTATCGCCCCGATAAAAATTGATAGTTGCATAGGATTTCGGGTTTTGTTTTCCGCATGACTGCAACGATGACGTAAAATAAACAATTGAATTGGACAACACTAGCTACATTGTGTCCTCCAAAGCTCGTTACTCCACAAACTGGTTCCTCTCTACATAATATAGACTGCGTGTATACGCTCCGCGGCTCTTTGTACACACAGCTGCCGACTACTATCACTTATATAATGCATTCTCATCTGTGATGAAAATGCCGAGCCAGATAAAAAAGAAAAATATTATGCATGCCGGATAGAGATAAAATTATTTTATAACTCTTAAAAATTGTCTAATTTATTCGCAATATTAAATGTCTCGCTCCGATGCCAAACATTTCCGATTTAAGCTTTCCAATCTATCCACGGAGGTGCTAACCTTAGTGTTTTGAATAATAAAATTCATTACGCCTCTATGCATTAGTTTATAACTATTGAATGGCTGGGATTATCTAAATTCCTGGACAGACCAGAAAATTGCGAAAGATAGAAAGTAAAAGGATTAATAGAAAAAAAAAGATCAAATACTAGTTATTACTGTGTGGTAAGCAAGCATTTGATTGTTGGTGTTTCGTGTCGACCAATTGGCAGGGTTGGTTGTTGAACAGGACGACCAAGGGAGGGGTGTGACCCGCGTTGTAGTTGCTATAGTGACGCAGCCACAAAAGGCACTCTGCGTGTTGGCTTTAAGTGGTAAGGTTAAAAAACAAAACAAGAAATACAAAGATAACGTACGCCTGAATGTACAGCTATTGGGAAAATTATTAGTATATTTATTTTTAATTTCCTAGACGATTTACTCACTCTCCGTTAGTGAACTTACCGGATCAAAAAATCGGTTATTCTAATTTAAAAGTAATCATTTATACATACGTACACAAACACACGCGCATCCAATTAAAAAATGGTCTTTAAAAAATGCAAATATTAATTAAAAATTTATATTTGGAGCAAGCAAAAAAACGCGATTACGTTATCTTTTCTGTAGGTCTTGCCGAAAAACTTGCGACTAAAACTTGACTAAATTGAAAATTTATTAAATGCTGTTGGACGGAAAAATTTCTCCAATTATGAAGTTACGTAAAAGTAAATGGGAGGATTTATTTATATTCACTAGAGGTAGTGTTAGTCAGTCTTTAATGATGCACGTAGAGTAGATTGGGGAAGATGATTTTCGAGTATAAATGCTTGTGAAAGTAACAAAACGATTGATAAATGTAACAATTATGTAACACACTTCAATCTGCGACTGATAAAAGTAGAATAAATAAAAAGCGATTATCAGATTAGCGCAGTAAAACTTTCGTTCCTTTGTGTCGAAAGAGTTGTTGGCACAATATTAAAATTTCAGAGCGATTTGTTTACCGCAAATAGCTAGAAAAAAGAAATAATTCAGTAGATATATGTTTTATAAACAAGCGTGTAGCCGGAGAAACCGGGCGCAAACCACAAAGGAACTTTTGCGAGTTTCCGATGCACATCTGTGAGCCACGAGTGAAGAGTGCCCGAGGTGTGCAACCGCCGACGTTTATTTAGGCCTAGCTGGCTGGAGAGAAAACACCTTGGCGTTGTGAAGGACAAATATGACGCAACATGACGACAGCGGTGACGGGGGGAGGGGGCACGATGTGGCATTCAGACGGATTTCCTTCGCCCGCCCGTCCATGCCAAGCGGGCCAAGGGAACAATGTAAACCCTCGGCTACAGGACAAGGAAGAAAGCGGCCCTGGCCTTTTGTTCCCGTCCACTCCGTGTCCTGCATTCGCCGGCCTCTCAGTGACAGCGAAAATCCATTTACTCGGCACAATTGGCAAGTGTGACTAAACTCGACAAAAAGGTGCGCCCGAGGGGACAACCTGGGGATGCCGACCAATCGTTCGCCCCCTAACTCGGCCGCAGCTTCAGCGAACAAAATGGCTTCCGACTCTGCAGCCTAAACAAATCAACGTGGGTCTTTTGTTGCTCCTCCGGTGTAACTTCCAACTTCCCATCTCGGCGATGACAGCGCCTGCAAGTCGCTCGGACACACATACCAGCCGCTGTCCACTCCTGCCGGCTGCTTGCCATCCACTGCACTAATTAATTACGGCCATTTTACGGATAGCATACACTCGCGCCAATACCAGCTCGGCCTTCGGGACCGTGCAACCGTACATACACAATGCTGATCCCGCTTGACAAACCAACCCATACAAAGCAAGTACTCACCTCTAGCTGCACATCGCCATCAAAGCAGCCGTTAGTCAAGTCTGCAAATCAGACTTGGAGGCATCATTTCGCACACCGCGTGCTCATTGTAAATACAAACATATCCATCCGCCGGACGAATTAAACAGCTTCCACCTATTCCTTCCTATTGTCTTATGTTATTCGCCAATTACTCGTCCCTTTACTATTTTCTCCTCTATCGATTCTCTTTATTGAACCGTTTCGATGATGTATGAACTATTTTGTGTGGCGGAGGGCGAAATTGTTATTCTCGGCAGTCGAGTGCTAGGCTGCGTGACGTCATACGCACCTGCTGGGTAAACAGAAAGAGTCTGACCGACAAATTTAGCTCAGACTTTCGCTTCGACAAGGACGCCAGTTGATATTTAACTTGGCTAATAACTAAATAAACATTTAATAAATACACCAGTATTATATAATTCCTATTACCCTCCAATAATCGACAGCGTTCAAGGTAACTCTATGACGTAAAATGTTATCGTCCGCTTTTTTAGTAACAAATACTAGCAAATTACATAGTGATAATCGACTCCTTTCACCCTTAACCTTATACATTTTAATAAGAAAAAAATTAATGATTAAACAGCGATAACACTTTCTAAATTCCTGTTATGTCGTCCTACTATGAAAAAACTTTCGATTTTACGCTTATATTATAACTATTTGTTATATTGTTAAAATTATCGACCTTGAATTGTCCTTGAAAGAGCCCTGAGTCAAGATCTCGACTCGTAACTTCAAAGATAAATGAGAAATATAAACAAAACTGGTCATTTGTAACTGGTTTGAGTTTTCTTATGTAATAAATTACATTTCTTACCTTTTATTTAATTTGGAAATTTAAATAAAGTTAGAGGCGTATTAACGGGGGAAGAAATGTAAGTTTCTGTGAAATATTTACAGCGTACCTACGACTAATTCGTTTAAAAAAATTATCAATTAATGTGCTATTTATGACGTAACAATATGGATTCCGTTAGGCGGGGTTTTAGTGTGGCCTGGTCACGAAATCGTCATTAATTCAACTTCTTTAATTATTCATAAAATGTGTTGAGAAAACAGCGAAAACGTTCGACGTAACTTCTTTAGTGTTTTTAGTGAGAAACGTGCTTGATTTTTATACCCGAAATCTAGCAGAATGAAAATTAAAATTGAAAAGTGTGCTTCAGTTGATCTGGTAAGGTTGGTGAATACATCAATCAAATCGTATTTTGGGTTTTCTTGGCGAAAAAGATCCTTGAACCGTTTATAATCGCTCACAATTTGTTTTAAATTTCAAAAGGTTTCGATAATTGACTTTAAAATGGTTGTTGGAACAATCTATTAAAAACATTTTTTTTTTTAATAACGCAGTTTTTAAGGGTGAACGGATCGTGTTTGTGTGTATGTCGATCAGTCTGGTATCTATAATTTTTGGTTACTGTAATTTTATAAAAGGTAATTCACGCATAAAACGAATCTTCACTTATTTCTACGCTAAAAACCGTAAAAATTTCTATAATAAACCGTCAAACTTTAAAAATACATCTAAATAATAAAAAAAAAGAAAAGAAAAGAAACCTTGCAGCTTTTTTTTAAAATAAATTTAAGCTTATTTTTTTATGATAGGAGAAGATGGAAATTATTTTCTTTAAACTGATTTTGAAACCAATTAATATTTACCAAGCAACTCAAAATAACCGGAGTTTTTCTATTTTTATTAATTAAAAAACTCCCGACGAGATCGTTATAAGCGAAAGTTTGCCATAAATCAAATATTAACCATTTTAAAACGATATTTTTGGAATTATCTCTTAAAAATTGATTTAATAAAAGTAAACCATTTGGAAAATTATAAAATTTATCTTTTTTTTTTTATTTATTTTTTTAAATAAAATCTTTTACAGCGGTTTTAAATAATGATGCTTTAATAATAAAAGAATTTCTTTTTTCTCCTTCTTCCCTCTCTTTCTCTCTCTCTCTCTCTCTATATATATATATAGATGAAGCCAGTTGGAGAGAAGGTGTTTCTTTTTCTTTCAGACTGATGATGGATGACGTATACAAGTTACAGTAGATTGTCTATCGCTAAATTTCGGCAATTATCCGCTACGAGAAGGAAGAACTGGCCCAATGGATGTCAGTTAGGAATGCTTTCTGTCGCGAGAACGAAAATGAAACTGAAAAAAGTCAGCAGTCCAAAACTCCCTAAACTCTCATTCGTCATAGTCTGGCAGGAAAGTTTCAACATTTAGTTCCCCCGGGGGTGGAGGATAAAAAATAACAACTTCCGGAAATAGAGACTAGACTTACTTTCGCCAGTTTGGATGATACGAGTCGGCGTGACAAGTTCAAACAAAAAGTCGTGTTAGCTATTTTTTTCTTTTTCTTTCTGTCCTGATTGATATCGAATGTTTAAAAANAATAAAAAAAAATAGCAATTCTACAATATAACACAGTACACGGTGTATTATGAGAAACGGATAGAATATTTTCGCAAATTGCATTTTAAAAAGAGAGAGAGGGGAAAAAAAGCAATGATTTTTATTAAAATCCCATTAAACCATCCAGAAAAGCATGAGGGTATACATAATATTTTTAATTAAAAAAAAAATTGTAATTTTTTGAAATAACCGGCAGGGAGCTAAAGTCGAAAGAGAGGGAGAAAAGAATGGTCTGTTTTCAGTTAGTGTTAATTATGGAGACATTAACACTAATTTTCAATTAAAGAATGCCAATTTTAAAAGAAAAGGAATAAAAAAAAAAAAAACAATTTTAAAACTCAGGTAATTATATAAAATATCTGGTTGTAATAACCACAGTTATCGATTATTATCACGTATTTCTTCCGTGTGGAGCTTTGAGTTAATTTGTCACTTAAGCCTAAATGAATATTAAGGCTTTTGTTTAGGGATTTTTTTTTTTTTTTACTCCCCGTTTAAAAGATGACAGTTTGTGACGTCATTTGCAAAATCCATTTCACATTTATCACGAAAAATGACATAATTAAACGTAATGAAGAATGCGAATCCGAGAGGATGTTTCCTGCTTAGAAAACATTTCCCATTGTGATTATTTCCCGTCTATAATGGTCACTAAATTGAAATAACTCATTATGAATTCTTGTTTATCGGAAAAACCAGCTGAAAATAATATCAAATGATCAATAATCATAAAGCTATTGTAAAGTCACACAAACTAAAAAGGAAACAGAGATGCCAAGATGATGATGATGATAATGATGATGATGATACTGTTAAGGTATTTTATAATACACTAAAAATTCATTTCGTATATAGTAAAAACCTGTGTAAACCGGAATCGTACGGTACCGAATGTATTTTTTTTCCGTTTTGAACAGGTTCTTTTTTAACGTAGAAAAACGCTCCGTTTTGAAGAATTTTTTTCCATTTATGCTTCAGGTTCCGTTATGAACAGGTTTTACTGTATTCAATTCCGTATTAGATATTTTGCCAAATAAAAAAATATGTAGTAAAACCTGTTCATAACGGAACCTGAAGCATAAAGGGAAAAAAATTCTTCAAAACGGAGCGTTTTTCTACGTTAAAAAAGAACCTGTTCAAAACGGAAAAAAAATACATTCGGTACCGTACGATTCCGGTTTACACAGGTTTTACTGTATATATATACTGTTAAGAGATAAAAGGAAAATAACTATTATTGTGTAAGTTATGATTTTGTAGGTTTTGAAGAAAAAAATTGCAGGATCGTGACATCTCTATTGACCATGTGACATGATTTTTTCCCCCTTTTTTTTTTCGTTTCTATAAAGCTAACTTATTCTATATATGTACAGATAAATTCTGTAAATATTCTGCTTTCTTTCTCTTATAAGAGAATAAAGTTTTTATACCTGAATTTTACTACAGATCCACACCTTTATCAACTGTTAATTAAAGCAAAGAGAGACGTTTATAATAGCCACATTTACAAGTCAGTATATAATATTAAATCTAATCGTTTAATATTTTAGTAATAAAACATTAAATTAATTTTTGTTAGTAAGTTGTATAGTTAATTGGGGAAAAAAAAAAGATTTTAAATAAAATAATATAGAAAAGTGATAAAAATATAATTTGCTTTCTACATCTATTGTGATTTACGCACGATTTTGGTTTTAAAAATTCGAAATATTCATTATACACGAATAATTTTGTTAGAAATTATATTTATTTAGCCTACATTTATGTATAATTTAATTGATTTGCCAATAGAAAAATTGCATGCAACTAAATAAAATATTTAATTCCGTTATATTAATTTAGTCGAGATTTTATTATTTTTTTTTTTTAATGAAGTTTTTAAAAGGAAAACCTAACTGTAAGTATGTTTAGTTTTTTAATCTTTTACAATCTTTGCAAAGAAAAACAAAAATAAAAATGCATAATTAAAATTTATCTAGGAAGGATAACTTAAGTATTTTTTGCAGTTTTTAATTACTACATTTATTAGACTTATTTTAGTTTTTATATCTGAGTGGATTCATAAGATGAAGTGCTGCATTTAACTTAAAACGTTCAAAATAATTATATCCGAATAATCTAAGTGTATAGTTGCAAAAATTAATGAACTTATTCGGATAATTTTAATAGAGAAAAACAATTAAAAATGCTGACGTTTTTCTTTGTTTTTTGCGTTCGAATCCGTTACTAAAAGATGTTTAGAGTAGGTTGCTCCCATCTTTGAACGTTAGTGCTTTCTTATATATATATGTAAAAAAAAAAAAAAAACACTTATAAATAATCCTTTCCACTTCATTTGAAAACTTCAATCAAATTCTCCCTGGAACAATTCTTGATCGTTTTAAAAAAATCTAACTAAAAACATCTTCGGACGAGAAATCGATAATTTAACAAAGACTCGCAGATTCTCCAGTTTAGCGACTGAAGTTATCTGTTTGCCCTGGTGTAAATTATAACCTGTGTTTAATAAAAGTGTTTAGGGACGTTTTAAAGTAGGTGCTAGTACTTATCACAACATAAAAGCTGTTTCTAAATCCTAATAGTTGTGACAAATTTGCGTTTCCTTCAATATAATCCTGAAGAAGGGACAATGTCCCATCTTTGGAGGAGGGCAACAAAAAAAAAAAAGAAAAAAAAAATCTATAATGATTATTATTTTAATAAATGAATAAATAATAAATTTGTCATCTTTTATTTTAAAATTTAAATTGACGTAATAATATAAATTTACTT